CTTTGAGCAACTTTCATGAGAACTCTCCACACTTCACGCTGGCTTTCTCACTCCCCTTCACCCTTGTGCTGGGAATGTTAATAAGAGTCTGCTATATTGTTACGCAGTCCTCCTTCCTAAGTCTTATCAGAACTTCCCTCTTGCTCGTAGGATCCATCTGGTATCTCCCTGGTTCAAGTATTTCACTCGACCCCTGCCACTCCAACTATGCTACTCGAGACGTTATTTCCCACACTACTTCTGGGAGACTAAATCGATGCCTAAGCCCCTGAGTAATTCTTATGGTAAAGCCGTTGCTTTATGACCCACGTCTATGGTAAAGCAGGTCTAATGTCAGCCAACTAGTTCTAGTCTCCGCCGCGTCTATCCTGTTCCTATTCGTAATACAAAATCTATGATTTCCTATGACCTAGTCTCTTGTGTGCCAACCCACAAATATTGTGATCCAAGCGTCGGACCCTGGACTTGGTATACTCTCAGACACTTCGCCAGCCTCGTAATTTGCTTCCTCATTGAGTTTTGCCAATCCTAGCCTCAAGCTGGGACTCGTCAAAGAGGCAAGTGAAGTCAATCCCTTGATTAACTTTCTTCCAAAACAGTTATGCTATCACTCCACTTTCTCTCCTAGCCCCTCTATCTACTCCCTATCATTTAGTCTCACTTTCGCTTTTTTACAACTTCTACCTCATCAAGAGGTTTGCCCTTTTGGCGAGTTTGTGGTGGCGTCTTCACTTATTATGTTCACTTTGGCCCTCTCCCTTTTCAGTGGGTGATCCGACACCAGCTTCGTATCAGGATCTACCCTATAACTGTTTCTTATCTTTTAGGTTGACCAATTTCACTATGTTTTAGCCCCAGTGTACTTTTTACTTACTTATCAAGCCTACAGTTTTGCGTAGAATGCCACCTCACCTGAAGATCACCTAGACTCTGATTCCCATTCTTGCGGATATTAAGAATTACCTTCATGCATAATCTCCCTAAACGTGTGTACCCTGAGCAAGTTGTGCACTTTTATCTCTGATCGCCTGCTACCTCTCGAATTGATTTATAGTCGATTTGGTTATAGTCAGAATTTCTGTGCCGCCTATGATTCCGGAACTAATGTGTACCAAGTCTACTGTTCGACGCTTTGAAATATGATGATTACTATAGCGGAGGACTTCGGACATGATGCATCCATCTAAGTCGCCCTTATAGCATGACTTAGTTGCGATAACGAGGTTGGATCATGTCTCTACATCGAAGGATATTGAGACTAAAAAAGAGGCCATAACATCTTGGATTTCATATCTATATGTTTTCAAGCCTGCATGAAGTGGCATTATTCTGCGTTACTCTTTGTGCCGATAAGTAACCACGAGGATTCTACATTATCGTTGTTCTATAAGTTTTCTCTTACTTTCTCTCGATAGACGAAATCTACTGACTCAACTCTCCTGGCTAGACTGGAGCTTTTCATGCCATTCTTAGAAACAGTGTCGCTACCGAGCGAAGAGCGGCTTGAGGCGATCAAGGCAAAATTATTAGAATCCAATAATGCTGATTCGGTCGCATCTTCCCCATCTATTGGCGGACGACTTTCGGATGATATTTTAGAAATATGTAGCAACCTGGAGAAAATAAAGACGGAGCGCAACGACCTACAGCTCCGACTAGAGGGGTTAAAGTTTCCTGCGGCACTAAGTAAGCTTAAATTTTACTTTAATTTGTCCTTATTTATGCAGCATACCTTTACTTAGCAGAATTTTACATTATGAGCTGTGATATTGATTACACATTGTGGCATTTATGAGTCGAATGTGAAAATCCTTATTAGTAATAATCTAATTTAAATTCTATCACTGATAATATTTTGACTTTCTTTCAGGCCTTTACTTTTTTATACATGGGATTTTGGATTATTGAGTGCACAGGGTATCAGATAATTATAATTGTTATTCTCATTTCTTGTGCAATTTATGTTTTATGGATCTTTTATCACTTCCCAATTTGTTTATATATTTTATTTGATTGGTACACTATGCCGCCATGCGTGGACCCTTTTTCCTTTAATTCACTATGAATAGTTTTCTGTGACTTATATATATCTTCTTCGATTAGATGACCAAATAGAAGATGAAAACTGTATAATTTAATTGAGTGCCTAAAATTAGCTAGTGGCGAGGCGGAAGGGTTATTTGACAGGATGAGAACAATAGAACCGAGGAATTGGGTTGCGTGTTTGCCCACGAGTAGACCACCGGAGGCGCAATGCTGAGATTCGGCGTTAATGTAATATCACACCGAGCAAAGTACCTCGCTTGCGCGGAGTAAATATAATTCTACACACACGGGATTAATGACAGCTGTATGAAGATTTTGATTAGGCTTTGATGTTGGAGGAGCGCGGTCTTCCTTTACTAGGGGGTTCATTCAACTTTGATGTGATTTAAATGCAAGATGCATATTAGCTACATACTTGGAGGTTGCTCACAGATTAGATGTGAGCCGATAGTAGGAG